TTATTAAATTAAATTATTTAAACTATTTAAACAACTGCTTTATTGGAGTGTATTATTTCACACAAATATCAAAGTGCTTTCAAACTTCTTCAGTTCATTCTAAGAATTTAAGAACTGAGAACTTTAAATTCCTTTTTTTTAAAACCTACTAAAATTTTTTAGAGGTTCCAGAACATAGTTTTGTCTGTCTGTTCAAGTATCAGATGAGAACAGCTGAATCAATTTGTATGAAACTTTGTACATACACTCAGGAAAGTCGCAAGAAAAATTCTGAATGTACAGTACATCTGTCTATCCAAATATAAGTTGAGAATGACTAAACCAATTTCTGCAAAACTTTACACAAATGTTCTGAAACATTAAAAAAATATTTCTAAAGCTCCAGGTTCTTAGTCCTTGAGGATGAACTGAAGAAGTCTAAAAGTACTTGAATGTTTATGTGTAAAATAAAATACTCTAATAAAGCAGTTTGTTTTGGTTTATAATTAATATTTTGGAGTATTAATGAATAAACAGTTAAAATGTACTCTCAAAAAATCCTTAGTTCCTTTTAACTTTTCAAAATTTTCATTATATACTCTGTAATGCTAAATATTTTAATATCAAAATTTTCATTTTGATCTAAAGAACATACCATAAAAAAGTTGCCTACTAATTTCCATTGTTAAATTTTCTAAATATACATCACAAGTATCAGTATATAGGCCTATTATGATTCTTTCTAACAATCATTTAAATATGACGATAATGAAAAATTAGTTAGATCAAATATATAGTATTCATATTTAGTATTTTAAATTTTTTATTATATTTAGTTTATTCTAATAAATATATTCAAAAATATCTTTACCTACATAAATCAAATGTGTATTTACACTATATAGTGTTCAAAAGACAAAATAAATCAAATGGTTATATCAGTAACATTTGAATATATATGAAACAGTATTTTTGGTAGAAAAAACATTTAATATATATTAAAATACTATATAAATATCATTGTTAAAATTATTAGACATGCTATAGAAAGCAAAAAACTAAAGGAATTAACAAATCTTCAACAATGTACTGGTGTATAAAGTAAGCATAATTGATGACTAAGCTCTTTTGAAAGAAACTTTACTTACTTCTTTTTTAATAAAAACAAAAACAACATCAATTTAAATCATTAACTTAGAATATAATGAATATTATTGTGACATTGTCACAATGATGGGTTGTAATTTTTAATCATATTTTTAATTTATATGCCCTCTACCTCAAATTAGTAGTGTCTTGCCCCTGTATATCATATTTTCCTGCTAATAATAGAATCATGCTGATCATCTATCTAACTCCTTTCAGAGGAAAATTTTTGAATTGAAATAATACGACTTCCAGTGTAAACTGGAAGTTTGTATATAGTTAATCAGGGCTTCTTGCCCATAAGCTTTCCATATCTGGTCTCTAACTCTTTTCTCCAGATTAAGAAGGATAGACAGACAGACAGACAGACAGTGGGAATTTATAGGTCTACAATTTTTTCAAATTGCAGCCCAATTATGTGAAAACTTTGGAGATTATTTGCTAAGTGAAAAATTTCTTGTTAGTACATTACTTTACTATATAATAAATTTTGAATGATGAATAATAAAATAATTAATATCTAGTGACAGTGAATGTTCTTTTTGTGGAATGACAGTGATGAATATGAGAAAACACCTTCTTGATTCTTGTAATACCCTTTCAGATATTCAAGCTGATACATTGAAACATGATTTTTGTTATCAAATTTTATTTGATGACAGTTTTGCCATATTAACATTACATAAACTGTGTAAGTTTTTTGTTCATATATCAAATTTAATGTAACAATGTTATTTAATCCCTTCTGTAAAAACACTCCTTATACCAAATAATAAAGCTTGATTGATTTATCCATGAACTATTTACTGGCTTACAATGTTATTCTTTTTCATTGATCACTATGTTCAAACTTATCAAGAACTACTGTAATTTGAACCCGTAGATTATGTATTTAAAAAAAACACAATTTTAATGCAAATGTGGGTTAGGCAATGGGGTGGGTTATATGCCAATTTTAAACTGCATCTACAAACTCATCAAACAGCTTTTCCTTTGTTTAAAGTCACCAAGTGTCTTTAGAAAAAATGAAAAATTCTTTGTGTATTTTAATACTTTTATATTGTGAAATCACAATGACAGATAAATATGTAGACATCCTCTTCTTCCATAGCAATTTTTCTTGAAACTATCAAATACATGTATATGCATACCTCACCATTAGTTTATTTTTGTACTTTCAATCCATGCATTAATTGATATCATTAGACACTTTTATTTGAATTTATATCTTGAAAACTGATAAACTCCCATTAATTATTCTCTACCTAGAGAACTTTAATGATTCAGACTTGTAATGTTATAATTGTCATCATAATAAGCTGTAAACTCAATGCTCTTTTCATTGCTATAATGTGAATTTGGAAAATTAAAATAATTATATAAATTTAAAATTATAGCCCTACTTTTGTTTGTGCTATAATGCTGTTTTGTTTACACACAAATGCATTATTTTCTATCATTTTTCCAACTAAATTGAAATTAATGATGATATTTATGGCTGTACCAACATTTAAGGCAAAGAGACAGCAGCTTCAAGAGCACTAAAAAAAAATAGTCAGCAGAACTTAAAAAGCACTGAACAGAACAACCAAACTTTTAATTTTGTGCACTATGTGAAAACTGTTATATGACAAAGTAAAAGCAACAGCAGGTTATTTATAGTCCTAACAAAAGTAAAGGCTAAATTTGAGATTATTTCTTTTGTAAAGAGTGCATCAGGAAGGCAATTCAATGTTTCTCTATGGCACATGATTTTTTTTTCTGTGTTGATTTGATTCTTTTTGTGACAAAATACATTTTGAATATTTACCCCAGATATAAAATTTCTATTAAAAAATTAGAAACTATTTTTTTATTCTCAGATTTGCTATTACATCTAAACATTTATGTAGTTTAATCTGTTTGAAAAGCCATGTAAGTAATGTTTAATTATATATTTTATGTAATTAACATTGAAATGGGAGCCAGGTATGAGGTTCACTCAGGCACCAAAACTGTATAGCATGGCCCTGATGACATTACAATTTTAATTTATTTGCTTCATTTTTACAGTCTACAGTGTGTCTGTTTTATATTAGTTAAAGAAATATTCATATAAAATACAAAATAAAATACTAAACACCTTTTGGGCCAGAAAATAACAGTAAAATAAAACTTCACATAATTCTTTCTAAACAGTAATTGAATGAATAAAACAGAATTTCAGTATCCTATTGGAGTCTGACCATTATAATTCATTATGTCTTTTCCATATAAGTAATCATAGTTTTTTGGCAACTAATTCATTCAACCAAAGACAAAACTTTTTATCATTAATAAAATATTAAAATAAAAAAATTTTAATATGAGTTTTAAGTATCACCAATATCTCTAAACCTGATATATTAGTTAAACATAACAAAGCTATAAATAACTGGAGAGGCAAAGGTTAGTCAACCACCAAAGATAATACATGTGCATGCAACATGCTGATCCCATATTGTGCAGGGAAGAATAAATGTCTTGTGTATTGATATATTTGCCAAAGCATTGCATTCTGAGTTAATTTTGCTTAAACTGAATATATTTTTAAGAATAGCTAACAATAGAATTTAAGCTGATAATATATAAACAACAGAAAGTATAATTTTATCATAAATTTAATTTTTATGCATTTGTAATCAGATGAACATTTGATCGATTATTGGATACAAGTGCTTTATTTCATGTTCAGGATGCCTTTGAGATCCATAATGAGTGAAATAACTTAATAGTATTCTGTTAATTCTTTTGGGGAAGGATGGAGAATAATGGAAAAATTTAAATAATAGGGAAACACTGGAATGTAAAGTATAGCAGCGAATGCTGTCAAGGAGGAATGAAAAACATGAAAAAATTTATATGTGATAAAATTACCAAACAACTTCATCTGATTTAAAATATTATAGTTTTTACATGGTGTTTCTATCCATTGACTACTAACTTTCAAATTTTTACTTCACTTTTCTTTTGCTTCTACAATTTTTCTTAATTTTTAAATTTTTATGAATTTTTTGATATTTTAAAATAATATATTACACAAATTTTACTTAGTATAAATATTCTCTAACTTTTTTTCCTATTTCTATTTCTGATGTTTATTATGTTCAGATCTATATGACCCATATTTACTTTAAAGCATAATAAGCCATATTAAACAAGTTATAACCATTTTGAAACCAAAGTCTGAGTAAATAATATTTATGAACAAGTTATAATACCTTTAATACCAACCATGTAATCAAGGTAGTTTGTCAGGTAAACAGGTAATATCTGTTTAGTCCTGTTTCTCTGTTTGAAACATATTAGAAACTGTTCATTGACAATTCCAACTTTTGTGTGTGGAACTCATGATATTCACACATCTATATCTGTATCGACATCTAACCTAACTCAACATATACATTGGATTTGGAATAAATTCATGAAAACAAAATAATTAAACCCATGGTATACAGTGATACCTCGGTCTTCGTCAATAATCTGTTCGAAAACAGTCGGTGAAATCCGAAACTGACGAAAACCAAGGCAATTATCTCCATACGAATCAATGTAAATCCAATTAATTTGTTCTAGACACTCCAAAATACATACCAAAAACACATTTTATAGAGAATAAATATAGTGTTTAATACTAAAAACAATAAGAAATTAATATAAAATTAATATAAAAGACTAATGTAAAGAATAAATGAACATTTAACATGGCATTTCCCATGATGCAGCTAAAAGGAAAGCAATGGAATTGCGTGTATTCAAAATCTCAGCATCAATCTAGTGTGATGCTACTGGAAGTGTTGCAATTGCTGGCTTTTTCTAGAGAACACAAATGCTGACAGTCGGAAATTTCAGGAGGGAAACACAATAAAAATGGCAAGTGATGTGGACTTCCAAGTTATGTTAAATTTATTTTTCAACTTATTTAATGGGAACAGCTTAATGAAAAATGAATATTTCAAAAAGAGAAATAGAGATGAAAATTTTTAAAATTTCTGTAGGAGTTTAAATAATTAAATCAATCCTAAGATTACACTTTAACAACAAAAAAATTATGTGATGTCTTATGTAAATATACTAATGTATTAAAATATTCTATTAATATACTAACCAAATATTAATTTATTCAGGGAGTTTATTCATCAACAAATAAATAAAATTTGAAATTGTCAATGCAAAATAGAGCTCTTACAATCGTCATAGTGACTGCCATCTTGTTTGCTGGTGTATCGAGCACTGAAAAAGACACTTGCAGCAATCGGTAATTATCAGAGATTTTGAACAGAGGCAATGAGATTTTGAATACACCTATTGTTTGGCTAGACATGTGAAGTAATGCTCACACAACTCTCAAAATTAGCAGCGAGGATATGTGGAAACATCAACGAAATCATAGACAAATTTTTCACAAAAAAAATCAACGAAAACTGAAACTGACAATAACTGAAGTCAACAAAAACCAAGATATTACTGTACTTTCCTTCCTCTATATTGAAAATGAGACATTTTTACAGTAGTGAAAAATTGAAAGACACTATAAAAATTTGATTATTAAGCCTATCAATTAATATTTGTTTCAGATATCTAAAATTAAAAAATGGGGTTAACAAGCCATTGTCAATGCAATGAAAACAGAGCAAAGGGATTACTAAAATGTTTTTAAGTCATTCCAATAATACTCTGTAATCAGTAATTAATACAAAAACTACATATATAATGACCTTTAATAAATACTTTATCCTTCTCTTTAATTTCTTACCTACATTTCAAAAAAAGCATAGGGGATAAAAACTTTAGAATTCAAAAAAATACACTTTTTAATATTTTATTTTTAATGATTTTTCTTAGAAATGTATATCAAAATTATTTAAATATTTAAAGTACAAAACAAAATATTTTCAAGTACGAAAAGCATAAGGTGAATGATATTCAGGCCTTTTACTGTTTAGACCAGGGGTGTCCAACCCGAGGCCCAAGGCAAGTTCAAATGTGGCCCAATAAACGTGTAAACAAAACCGACAAATTGTTTATTTTTTTTATTTATTTATATCAATGGCAGAAAATCAAAAAAGAAATTTCACAAAGCCGTAAACTTTTATACATATTTTATTTTTGAGTGAAAAGGAAATATTTTCAAATACTCGGAAATGTGTGAATGACGAAGAAATACTAAATAAAGCTGGAGTTGGGACTCAAAGGATTATAGACCCAAATTTGAGAAAAGGAGAGAAAGGCCAAAAGATAAAAAGTAGTGAAAGGTTAAATAGACCTTCTGTTATGCAAATATTGACCCTTAATTTTTCATCCTTCCTCNTTCAGATCTATATGACCCATATTTACTTTAAAGCATAATAAGCCATATTAAACAAGTTATAACCATTTTGAAACCAAAGTCTGAGTAAATAATATTTATGAACAAGTTATAATACCTTTAATACCAACCATGTAATCAAGGTAGTTTGTCAGGTAAACAGGTAATATCTGTTTAGTCCTGTTTCTCTGTTTGAAACATATTAGAAACTGTTCATTGACAATTCCAACTTTTGTGTGTGGAACTCATGATATTCACACATCTATATCTGTATCGACATCTAACCTAACTCAACATATACATTGGATTTGGAATAAATTCATGAAAACAAAATAATTAAACCCATGGTATACAGTGATACCTCGGTCTTCGTCAATAATCTGTTCGAAAACAGTCGGTGAAATCCGAAACTGACGAAAACCAAGGCAATTATCTCCATACGAATCAATGTAAATCCAATTAATTTGTTCTAGACACTCCAAAATACATACCAAAAACACATTTTATAGAGAATAAATATAGTGTTTAATACTAAAAACAATAAGAAATTAATATAAAATTAATATAAAAGACTAATGTAAAGAATAAATGAACATTTAACATGGCATTTCCCATGATGCAGCTAAAAGGAAAGCAATGGAATTGCGTGTATTCAAAATCTCAGCATCAATCTAGTGTGATGCTACTGGAAGTGTTGCAATTGCTGGCTTTTTCTAGAGAACACAAATGCTGACAGTCGGAAATTTCAGGAGGGAAACACAATAAAAATGGCAAGTGATGTGGACTTCCAAGTTATGTTAAATTTATTTTTCAACTTATTTAATGGGAACAGCTTAATGAAAAATGAATATTTCAAAAAGAGAAATAGAGATGAAAATTTTTAAAATTTCTGTAGGAGTTTAAATAATTACATCAATCCTAAGATTACACTTTAACAACAAAAAAATTATGTGATGTCTTATGTAAATATACTAATGTATTAAAATATTCTATTAATATACTAACCAAATATTAATTTATTCAGGGAGTTTATTCATCAACAAATAAATAAAATTCAAAATTGTCAACGCAAAATAGAGCTCTTACAATTGTCATAGTGACTGCCATCTTGTTTGCTGGTGTATCAAGCACCAAAAAAGACGCTTGCAGCAATCGGAAGTTATCAGAGATTTTGAACAGAGGCAATGAGATTTTGAATACACTTATTGTTTGGCTAGTCATGTGAAGTAATGCTCACACAACTCTCAAAATTAGCAGCGAGGATATGTGGAAACATCAACGAAATCATAGACAAATTTTTCACAAAAAAAATC